TCCATGATCGTATCAATGACAAAGTTGAAGAGGAAAGGTGAAAGAGGACAGCCTTGTCGGACACCACTTGATGTGATGAACTCAGGAGAAAGCCGTAGGTAGACATTTTTACGGCCGCAGGAGTTGGCGCACAGCGCCTTAATGAGAGTCAAGAATTTATGGGAGACACCTTTGCTCCACACTGCTATAACTCAGGAGAAAGCTTCCCGTAGACATTTTTACGGCCGCAGGAGTTGGCGCACAGCGCCTTAATGAGAGTCAAGAATTTATGGGAGACACCTTTGCTCCACAGACACTGCTATAGTGCTTGGCGGTCCACAGAGTCAAAGGCGGCTTTCAGATCAAGAAACACAACCATTGTTGGTTGCTGGAAACAGTGTCGCTGTTCCAGAATCTGTCGGAGGGTGAAGATATGATCGATACAACCTCTTGCAGGACGGAACCCAGCTTGGTTTTCACAGATCTGCCTCTCCCTGTGTTCAGTCAACCTTCGAAGGATAAGGCCAGAGAGCACCTTCGATGCCACAGCTAACAGGCTGATGCCACGGTGGTTTTGAAGATGGGGACAACTATCGACATGCCCCATTCTGCAGGCACTTTATCTTCGTCCCACACAGTACCAATAAACTTTGTCAGGTGGAAGAGGGCTGGATACAGACCGTCCGGTCCTGGTGCCTTCTCACGTTTCAGTGCGGCTATTTCGTACCTTAGTTCGTCTTCCGAAGGGCGATCAAGACTTACATTCCATTCGCCCGTATGCATTATCTCCACCGGCTGTGTTGCAGGAGGCCAGCTGAACTGCTCTTCGAAGTGTTCGGCCCATCTCTCCAGTCGACGTTTTTGCGAGTGAATTAATGAGCCATCTTTTTCACTTATCGTTTCGCTGACCGTTGCTTTCCTAGGGCCAGTCGATCGTATCAGTTGATAAAGGGCACGGCTGTTTCCCGTAGCAAAAGCCTTCTCCATCTCCCGAGCTTTCGATGTCCACCAGAGCTCTCGGTCTTTCCTTAGACTCTTCACTGTTTGGCGTTTGAAGGGTTTATGTGCGCCGTTGAACTCGTTGCCTGCTGGTACAGCTTTCCTGGCATCAATCATGGATAACGACCTCGACGACATGCAGTGGTCTTGTGGTCGAATTGGAGAATTCGGGCAGGCAGCACTGAACGCCGCTAGTATAGCTCCTTTCACATTTTGCCACGCTTCATCCACATGCTCACTCTCACCACAGTTTTGTTTACTGTGAAGAGTTGTTGGGCTAGCTCAGATCGATACTGTTGAGCTACAATCGTTCTCCGAAGACAGCGGATTGGCATGCTTCTTTCCGACTTGCGAGGACTTGAAGGGAAACGAACTGTCAGGTGTGCACACACCATGGCGTGATCGGAATCAAGTGGTGTGCCACAGAAGGAACGGCAGTTTTGAATTGTGGCTCTCCACCGGTAGCTGATGGCCACATGGTCCAACTGGGTCCACGGTTGATTTGCAGTTGGTGGCCGCCAGGTTACGCGGTGCGAACATCTATGTTGAAAGCTCGTATTTGCTAGATAAAGTTCGTGATCAGCACACAACTGAAGGAGTCGATCTCCGTTGTCTGTGCGGCGAGCATCGACCCCGAAACGACCACCCAAATGTGATTCGAAGGAGCTCAGACGACCTACTTGAGCATTCAAATCGCCTGCGAGGATCACAATGTCAGTGCTTTTTGCCTGACGAATGAGCCCGGATAGCTCTCGATAGAAAGTATCCTTCTCAGCATCAGAACTAGTCTGTTGGGACATAAGCCGACACGACAAACAGGCACCGCTTCTTATGCCGGGAGGCATTGAGCTTGATTGAACTGGATAACCGGACGGCGCAGAGACGACTGTTCACTGGGATTCAATCCAGCAAAGCGTGTTCAGCTCTGGGACTGAGTGCAACTCCCACGCCATATATTCCACGAGTCATCGCACCGAGTCACCGAACACACGGAGGGAGAAATGTGAAAGAGCTAAGTTCATTCTTGACGTTCTGAGATGCATAGACGCGCTCGGGTCTCGTATGCGTGTTCCGGATACACAGCATACATCAACTTTAAGGGAGTATAATGTCTCAGCAAGCATAGCCTGTTTGCCAATGTGACAGGGTACGGACGTTAAAGGCTCCTGTATAGAAAGAATCTCGTGCATTGAGAAGGGTGTTATTTTGATTTTTGTTAGTAGGCAGAGAGGAAGATGAGGCCCTTCGGTCAGATAACTGACATTCAAATGACCCAGCGACATTTGATTGTGGTGTGAAGGGGTTAGGAAGGGACATCGGTGGACACCGGACTGCGCGAGCGAATGATACTTCCCGGCTGCCCAGGCCGAGGAAGGGAGCTTAGTTTAGGTGTCCCACCTTGAGCCTTTGACTCAAAAGTCTGACCCACAGAGCAGTGAGATGACGTAGGGTTTTGTTCGGGGACCCTGACCCTAGCCTCTGGCTCAAAAGCCTGACCCACGAGGCAGTGGGAGAGTGTGGGGTTTTGTTCGGGGACCCTGACCCTAGCCTCTGACTCAAAAGTCTGACCCACGAGGCAGTGGGAGCATGTAGGGTATTCTTTGGGGACCCTGCCCGGAGCCGATGACTCAACAGTGTGACCTGCTCAGCTGCAGGGGGTTGGCCTAACCCGAGGGCTCAGGGAATAAGGCAAATACAGAGTGTAACCGAAACAAACACTTAAAAACAATTGCAGTGCACATAAGCCAACACAAGGCGACAATTTGATTCAGTGATCTCCTCATGAGTCACAAAAATGAAAAATCGAAACATTATGGTAATACTGATAATCTCAGCAACTCACTTTATCTTTCGGTTTCAATGCATTTCGACGAAAGAAGGCCTTGCAGCTTTCGCATGTCAGTCTATCAAAGTTATATCCGGAGGCAGGTTCACCACAAACTATGCAGATTCGCTCTTCGTCACTGATTCCAGCTTTTCGTCTCCGCGTACGGACGACAGTACTTAATAGGCTATCTTTGTTGGCACTCCTAGAGAACTCTGAGGCGCTTCCGGAACATTGATATGTAGATGAGAATGGTATTATATCAGGGGATGAATGAAAATAATGCCCGGTACCGTAGGCGTCTCCAGTGTGACATGATATCTGAAGGTGCGCTGTGGATGAGTCAGGGGCACTATCCAATGTACCCGAGGCATTTTGGCGCATATGGATGGGGAAGCATGCATGTGACCCATATACACTGTCCTTTTCCTGCCGTGCAATCTGATCAACTTTAATCGTGTGGAAGTGAGTCGAACCCGGCTCCATGACTATATACCACGAATGCGCTTAAATATTGTTACAATCCATCAAAATGACTAACACGAAAGGAGCCAAGGAAAGGCGAATCAAAGGAGCTGCAACGCACGAATTTATTCTTCCCGGGAGATTCAGTTCACCTGGACCCTGACACAGACTCATGGATTCACGGTTTGATACACCCGATCCTGGCTTTCCCCCAAGCTTCCCAGATCGAGTTTGTTCTCATCGTGCAGAGGCTTCCATTCACATGAAAGGCTCAAGTGAAATATGATGCGGCGCTTCTGTTTAAGTTCTCAGAGATGGCCTGTGAGCTTGTCACGGATTCACGGATTCACGTATTGATGCACAGGATCGAGGCTTTTGCCCAAGTTTCCCGGGTCGGTTTTGTTCTTGTCGGTCAGTGGCTGTCGTTCACCTGAAAGGCACAAGTGAAAAAAGGGTGTAGCACTGCTCTTTATGTTCTCAGCGCGGGGCAGTATGCTCGCCAGCGCGAGGATTCGCATAAATAAATGTCTAATAGTGCTTTAAATTGGGTTCGAGAAAGAGCGTGTACAACCGTCGGAGGGAGGTCATTCCACGCAGCTACTACCTGAAATGAAAAAAGTTTTGTCTAATGAATGTGTGTGCCCTGAGCTTGAAAATTTTCTTACTATGTCCTCGCCGGGTGTTTGCTGGGTCAACGGTAAAAAACCTGTTTGCCAAGCTTTGTTCAAACAGGACGTAAGTAAGAATTAGGTCCCCTCGGAGGTGACGGCACTCCAGGGGAAAGAGATCAAGCATCGCGAGACGCGTTTCGTAGTCCACGGATTTGAGGCCGGCAACCATTCTAGTGGCGGGAGGAGAATTCACATGAAAAAACGTTCAAAAAATGCCTTGAACTGGGTGCTAGACGCAGCGTGAACAACCATCGGAGGCAGATTGTTTCACGGCTCCGAAGTGATAACAAATATTTACCAATATAAGTGTGCGCCCCGAGCTTGAAGTTCTTTTTATGTGCGCGCCATGTATTGGTCGAGTCTTCTATGAACAACTCGTTGAACAATCTTTGTTCATACTGGGCATACGTAAATGCTGGACTTCTCCGGGGTCAACGACACTGCATGGCAAATAGTTCACGTACCCAAGCATCGTTTCCCGATCAACAGATTTGAGAGCAAAATCCACGTTCCTAGCAGCCCGTTAGCCACAATCAGTGACCTTTGTTCGGCTTCTCCACCGACCTCTACCCACCCGCCATCAATTATATATATGTTGCAGTCAGAAACGAGTTTTCCCTGGCATGATCTACTAATTTTAACACTATTCTACCACCCCTTCGAGTTAAGCGAAAAAAACGGTTCATTGTTCGACCTTTCGCCCCACCACCATCCATTGCCTACTTTAACCAATTGATCCTCAGGGCCTTGGCAACCACCCACCGGCTGTACGGCCTTAGCCAAACCTTGAATAAGATTCGTCATTATCCTACAAGCAGTCACTTTAAACAAATGCCTGCAACACTATCAACTCAATGCACTTTCTGTTTGCCCAGTCCTTGCCAAGTGAAGTCCCACGATTAATAGTATAATTTGTAGCTAGCCCCTCATAACACACTGGCTCCACAGAGGTTCAACGTTCACTTTAGATGTTCTTGTTGAAATACGCTATCCAAAATATTAGTCTCCACTGTGTAAGGTTCTTGGAAGTTAATAAACTCAAGTAAAATCAAATGCACGTTTATTTTCCCTTCTCAGTTCTGTCCGCCCCCTTTACGCCTCCTTCCGCACAGATCAAACCGCCCAGAATACCCGAAACCTGAAGAACACATCTTTGAACAAAATATGAGCTGCACTCAGGGAAATCCAGAACAGGAAGCCAGCTTTATCAAGATTGCTGCCTTTCACTTCGCTGACGTCGGATGTTGACCTTCTAGCTGGGCCCGAAATCTTCTTCAGGCCCTACGTGGTATTATGCCGCATTCGAGGCCCACGCTCGCATATCTGTCAAAATTTACCGCATCGAATCGACTAAAACATCTTCCGAACTTCTAACATCCCCAAAGCGTCACAAATACAAAAAACATGCGAAAAATTTTAACCACGTGCACGTTCAAAAACCCACAATTTCCCCAATGTCATAAACTGCTTTCCAAAGTTTCGGAAATAGGGGACTGCTGACGGCGTGTGGCCACGGATTTAGAAGACATCTGCCTCGTAATCCTCCGAGAATGTGCTTCTGGCCATTATCTCACTGAATTTTTCTTAACTAAATCTTACTCTGGTGTTTATTACGCTCCAACATAAAGGGCTATAGCACACCCCGTACTTAAAGCGAACGCCGTCGCTACCCGTCTGACTTTTACGACGATCCCTAGTGTCGGGGCAGAAATTTGCTGGCAATATTTTCTTCCGGGATTCTGGCCTCTGACAACCGCGAACAACCTGCTGATCATTGTTTTGTGCTGCCTCGCTTACAAATGCGTCATACCAAGGGCAAAAATCTCGCGTACCCCTTTTTAACGGAACTGTAGTAGACGGGCCGCCTTTCAAACCTAAGACACTTGGTGCCTTTCCACAAAGAGCCATGCATAACACTTCCACCCTCATAATTTTGATAGAACATTCTGCTTTGCTGTGCTCAGATGATTGACGCGGCTTTAAGAGCGACCGATTCATAAAGTCATTTTTGCCAAGCCACAAATTCCCTACGATGACCAGCAACAACTCGATACAAAATAATTTCTGGAACACCTACCGTGCAAATTTCTAATAAAACGAGTACCGCTTAAATCCTTTCTGCGCACAACAACAAAGATTTACGTGCGTGGAATTTTTCTGATTCGTTTCATCACATGCAGGCCCCACACTAACGGGAAGAATATGCGTTTGTCCCACTGGCTGCCCCCTCCCATACTGTCACACTGTTCCAAGATCCGGCATGTTTTTGAACACTACAAGAACCACAATAGACCATCTTCAAAAATGTTCGGCGAAGAACCACTGAAGTAGTTCCATTTCACCACTTTAACTGCCCAAACAGGTTATCCAGATTGATACTTCGTTGCTCAAATAAATTTGTTTCCATGACTAACTCGTTTTCCATGTTTTCCTGCGGGGCTCAGATGTCATGCATTCCAACAGGCACATCTCCTTGGACATGCACTCAAGGTCTTGCGCTAGATGTTTACATATCGGGCTCACAATAATTGTTCACCATCGACTATGATCCTACTATGGAACAGACTTCCCGAGACGTAGGTCTGCGGGAAGGACTCACAAATTTAACAGACACCAGACCGGCTCTGTTTTGAAGAATTTTTTCCTGAAAAACCGATCGTCACTTCCACCGCAGATCACGTCTGCGGGCTTGTTTCCGTCAAAGGTTTCCTGTAGTGTTCAAAGTGTTTACACCACAGTGACATGACTCTTCCATATCACCATGAAGCGTGTCCAACTTCCGCTGCTATGCACACTAAATGACTTAAGAATTGCATAGTTTTAACGCTGATCCTGCTTATATCCGTCCTGTCTACATCTGCTGTTGATATCTACTGATGGGGATGCCATCAGCCTTGTGTTTAACGGCCCAAAACGTTCAATTTCACTACCCAAGAGGAAACCAGTGTTTTTCGCCGGCAAATAATTTCTGGTTAGAGTCAGTACATATGAGCGCCCCTGGATTCTGCATGCTCGTTACGGCTCCAAATTTTTCACAATCGAGGAGTGCTGCCTGCTCCCGTTGTGCATTTAACCTGAATTTCTAAAAGGAACCTGGTTTTGGACACTCCTTCTTCTTTCTAAACAGGTCTATTTCGGCTGAATCATTCAAGAATCGCGCATCTCGTAGAAATTATATGTTATTATTGAATGGTTCAGAAAAGAACGGGCGTCACGAATGTGCCTTTGATCAAATGTCACAACAGGTGTCTTTTTCCAGCAAAAATAAATGGCGAACTGAGAGCTGGTTAATGAAGACTGTGTTAAGCACAAATAATCGAATGCCGAATTAGGTGCCCACAGACAAGTCAGGTGCCTAGATAGTGGTGCAAGTGAAGCATGATGATAATGGCCTGGAAAATTCTTCCGCAAGATAGATTTAACAACATATTTGAGAGCTCCGGAGCAACCCCATTGGAATTTTGTCGAACAAATATGTCCCAAGGTTTGTGGTTTGGGAATCAATGATTGTTTGTTGTATTGCACCAGTGACTTTATGTTGTTCAGTTGAATATAAATGCTCATGAAATATGCAAAGAATTAATGCCCGTTGCAGGTGATGGCCAACACAATGAAAGCCAAATTTTGGCCATTTATAATTTATCTTAGTCAGTTATGGTTGTCTGTCAGAAAACGGCTGTAAAGTGACGCGCGATGAATTTGTCGAAAAGTGGATTGTGACTTGATGATGGCAACAGAACCGCAAACTTGCGAAAATCATTAGCACGGTGAGGGGAGAAAGTAGAGCGAGAGCGAGCAATTTAAGCAACGCAGAAAGTCTAGTTTTAGCCCAAGTCGTCTCGCCACCAAGGATCCGTTTCAAACGGAAATAGCCTGGACTATATGACGGCACGACTGGTGCCGGAAACAAACACAGTAAACCAAGGCTGAACAGTTCCCATGGCAACCCTGCAGAATTGCAAACACTGGAGGGTGAACTCAAGAGTAAACCCTTCAAGGGTGGTTCAACTTGAAGGAATGGCGAATGATAGTACATATATTTCGGACTGTCCGCTTGGTACCACATATGGTTGGATAATCTAAAGACGGAGTGACAAGGCTCCTCCTTTAGGAATGGCAGGCACTGACACCCCACTGAAGATTATCGCTGCAGAAGTTATCTGGAGTTTCCTTAGGGAAGAATGGTATCTTAAAACAGTAATAATATTCGACATTTAAAAGGACTGCACACACGTCCAAACGTTCAACAAAGTAGGGACAGAACCTCTGGTCTGGAACATTCGTGCTACCCCACTATCATTAAGAGGTAAATTTAAAGCGAACAATAACTAGGCCAGTGAATCTGGTAATGCACAATAAAAAGAGAACAGGCTGAACGCGCCCTCCATTATCAACCAGCAGCTGACGAGAATAATGTGGGAACTTAGCAGATGTCTTACAAATGTCAAGTAGACAGCA